ACCTGAGGGCGCGCCCGCTTCGCGCCCAGCGTCAAGGTGGCAGATCCGCCGCGTTGCTCAGCGACGTCATACTCGAGGCAGTACTCGTCCCACTCGTGAACCTCCGGGTTGAGCTGCCGGTCTCCGGCGCGCTGCCAGACGTCGCCATGCCGCTGCCCGTGGCGGTGGTCCACGGCGCGGCACTGGCGGCAGCGGCCGCCGCCCTCGTGGGCGCCAGGGCCGAGGCGCTACTCTCCCACGCGCAGTTCGAGGATGCGCTGCCTGCGCCCGTCGCGGCGGTCAGCGAACCGACGCTCGGGGCCGTGCTCGCCCCGTGAATGGGCATCAGGGTCCGAGCTGGCGCTCGCCGAAGCGCAGATCAACAATGCGCCGCTGGCGCCCCTCGCGGTGGCCACATGGCACTCGACATCGAACTCGCCGCGCTCGTGGTCGCCAGGGTCGAGCGGCTGATCTTGGACGCGCTGATCAATTGTGATATGCCAGTGCCCGCCGCGGCGGACAGCGATATGACATTCCCAGCAGTAGTCGTTCCACTCGTGGACGACAGTGACTAGCTGCTGCCCCCTGGCACGCTGCTCGACGTTCAGACGCGATTGCCCGGCGTGCTGCTCAGCAGCGGCGCTCTGCAAGATTCGCCCCGCTCGTGGACCTCGGGGCGGGGCCGGTTCTCTCCGACGCGCTGCTCGACGATGCGCTGCCGTTCCCAGTCGCGCTGCTCGGCGACGCGACGTCCCAGCCGGTGCTCTTCCCATTTCTCGCCGTCAGGGCCGAGCTGCTGCTCTCCAGCGCCCTGCTCAACGTCGCGCTGCTGGTGCCCGCCGCTGTGGCCAACGATCCAGCATTCGCCGTAGGCGGTAGTACTCGCCCGATTCGCGCACATCAGTACCGAGTTGCTCCTCTCCGACATGCTGCTCGACGTTGAGATGCCGCTGCCGCTTCCCGAGGCAGGACTGGCTCGCCCCCCTGGCGCGCGTCCGGATCGAGCTGGTGCTTCCCGACGCGCTACTCAGCGGTGCGCGACCCGTTCTGGTCGCGCCGTTTAAGGCCGCGGTGCGCGATGTGGCATTTGTCCCATTCAAAGACGTCAACGTCGAGTTGCTGTTTTCCAACGTGCTGCTCAGCGTCGAGATGTCCGTGCCCGTCGCGGCGGTCCGCGATGCGTGGTTCGGGGCAGCGTCCGTTTTTCCTCGGCGTCAGGGTCGCGATGCTGCCACCAGGCGTGCTGCTCAACAATGCGCTGTTCGGACTGTCGTGGTGGTCGGCGACGTGGTGCTCGAGGTAGTGATCGCCCCGCTCGTGGGCGTCGGGGTCTGGGCGCTGCTCTCCGACGTGCTGTTCAGCGTCGAGATAGCAGTCTTTGTCGCGCTGCTCGGCGATTCGGCAGTCGATGATGCGCAGCTGGCGCCCGCCAGGGTGACCGACGAAGCGGTGCTCGAGGCAGGTTTCGTCCGTCTCGTGAACGGTTGGGTCGATGTGCTGCTCTCCGGCGTGCTGCTGCACGTCGAGATAATAGTGCCCGTCGCGCTGCTCAGTTGATGAGTACTCGGCCCGCTCGTGGGCGTCAGGGTCGAGCTGCTGCTTTGCGGCGCGCTCGTCAACGATGCTTTGCAGGTCCTGGTCACGCCGCCTAGCGACGCGGTGCTTGACAGTTCTTGCCCCCTCGCCGACGTCGGAGTCTCCCTGCTGCTCTCCGACATGTTGGTCTTCGTCAAGATGCTGGTGGCCGTCGCGTTGCTGAGGGGCGCGGCACTCGAGGCAGAGCCCATTCCACCAATGCGCGTCAATATAACATGTGTGATCTCCAAAGTGCTGCTAAGCGGTGCGCTGCTAGTCCTGGTCGTGCAGCTTAGCGGCGTGGCGCTCGAGGTAGTGCTCGTCCCGCTTATGGACGTCAGGGTCTGCTCCCCGACGTTCTGTTCCACGTCGGGATGCCAGCGCCCATCTTGGCAGTCAACGTCGTGGCAGTCGGGGCAGCACGCGCCCCCCCTCGTGGAAGTCAGGGTCGAGATGCTGCTATCAGGCGTGCTGCTCAGAGAGAAACTGAGAAAGAGAGAGAGAGAGAGATGAGAAAACACAGCCAATGACGTACAACATCTTGTGTTGATCAGACTCTTCTTGTTTTGAATCAGTTCTGGCACCCAGTAGCTTCTCAATCATTTGATCGGGGCGACGAGTGAAATTCTTGTGGGTTTGGCGTATCTCCATCAGCCCATCCAGAAACGATTGCCGGGGAAGCTGCTTGATGAGGCACGCGTGGAAGCACGTAGTTGCACAGCCGCCTTGGAAGCGTGTCAGAGGGGGCGCATATTGAAGGTGTCCCTGCAGATGTTGAAAGGTGTGGCGGAAGTTCCTTTTTGATTACGGTGGGCGGCCGGGTTCCCGGGGTCCGGGTTCTCGGGTTCCCCGTAGTTGGTTCCGGGCCGAATTCGGTGGTCGGCGGGGTTCCCTGTTTTTCCCCGTCATTGCTGATTTTCTGGTCGATTTCCGCATCGATCTGACAATCGGTTCACAATCGATCCCACAATCAATTTCAGTATAGATCTCGCGAACGATTTCACGATCGATCTCGCCATCGATCTCCTGAATCGACTTCACTGTCGGTACCACGACCGACCTTACTATCGTGTTCGTTGTCGACCCCACTGCCGATCTCACTTTCGATCTCACAGTCGATCTCGATATCCAGACCGCTAATTTTCAAACCATCTACTGATTGGGGCTTTTCCCTGGTGTAATGTCATAGATGTTCCCATGCCACGCGGTTTCGTTGATGTCCCCGCGATTTGCCTTACGAGCCTCCTAAAAACCTCCTGGGACCATCTTGGGGATAGGAGGAGGAGGAGGAGGAGGAGGAAGAGGAGGAGGAGGAGGAGGAGGATGAGGAGGAGGAGGAGGAGGAAGAGACGGAGCAGGAGGAGGAGGAGGCGCGGGGGAGAAAGGAAACATGAGGAGGCGGAAGAGGAGGAAGAGGAGGAGGAGGAGAAGGAGGAGGAGGAGGCGGAGGAAGAGGACTGCGGCACGAGCTTTGAGCTTTCGAGGGGGGGGGGGCAGTGGGGCTCAGGGCTCCATAGCCAGGAAAAGACGGGCCATCTCTTTTGCACGGGTCCTTGCAGGGGTGGCCCTGAAAAGACCTTGCAAATACCTTGCAAATACATTGCAAAATGGGAGGGTTCGAGGCCTGGTTTGGGCGATCGTGAACCCCATGGCTCCCCTCGGACCCCTCCCCTCGGAGGCTCAAAAAGGCTATCTTGGGACGCTCTTGGGGCGCTCTTGGGCGTATTCGGGGCCCTCTCGGGCCCTTTTTGGGGGGGCTCTCTTGGGCCGTCCCGGGGCCATGTTGAGGCCTCACAAGCCCATCGGAAGCGAAAAGGCAAGAGCGCCAAACATATGGATGTCATTATGTGTTGGAGCAACTTTGGCTTCTTGGGGAGGTCCTTGAAGGACCCGTATGGCACTTGAAAGCATCTTGAAGCAGTCTTGAGGCCTCTTGGAGGCATGTCGGAGGCTATCTTAACCCATCTTGAAACATCTCGGACCATCTTGGAGGCCACCTGGGGCTCTCTGAGGCCCTTTTAGGGCCATCTTGGACCAAAGCATCCTCTGACACCTCGCGGGGCGCTCCGTCCAGGCCCAGGGGAGGGGTTATGGGGGAGGGGTCAAGCTGCCCACCCGCCCGCAAGCCGTCTAGCTCACCCCCACCCGCCTTCCCAGCACGTAAGTATAACTCGAGCCTGAGCATGTTCAGCGGTCGTCTTTGGATGGGCAGCTACTGAGAACCAAAGCCGACCCCAGGTGCGCGACGCTTGGGCGAGGTGTGTCACGCGTGCCAGGGGCGCCACGCGCGCAATGGACCCCATGGGGCCCGAGCGTGCCAGGCACGCCTGGTGCGCTAGGTGCGCCGCGTGCTCCGAGTGCCCCAGGAGTGCCGCACATTCCAGCCGCGCCAGGTGCGCCACGTTCGGAGCACGTGCAGAGTGCGTCAGGTGCGCCTGCGCATATTACAGCACACATCGGAAAACATGTCGGCCCCCACAATCCTTGTCGAAAACAAATGACCATCATTGAGTCTAGCGGGCCTGCGCACAGCAGGCCACGCGCCACCACCCCCACCGTCCCTGTCAAAAACCACTTGACAGTGATCGCGGGATGCCCGCGAGGTGCACTTTGTATTGTTTTCTGGTCAGGGATGGTAGCCCTGCGCACAGCAGGGAATCTGCTGACACCCCAGCCGTCCCTGTCACAAACAATACAAAGTGCTCGCGGGCCTCACGAACATGACTCAAGACTTTGCCCCGAAGTGTACTTTGCATTGTTTGTTGACAGGGATGGTGGGGGGGGCGCCTTGGATTGGCCGCGCGTGCTCCAAATGTGGAGGCAGAGTGCGTGTTGTATGTTGTTTTTTGACAGGGATGGTGGGGGGGGCCCTCATGGGGTTGGCATGGTTCTGGGTTGGCCGCCGGCCGGATGGGGGAGGTTGTTTATATCAATAGGGAACAGTGATGAAACCTTCCACCGAGCAGGGTTTGAAGGAGCTGTTGGAAAAAAGAGAGAAATATTATGTTAAACCATCTACGCCCTGAGGGCTGGTGGGATTCCCGCAAGCGCTTTGCATCATCATCCTTCATGCCCCACGCCCCCTTTTGGTCCACATCCGTCCCGACAACACCGTCTCGACATCCTTACCATTGCCATCAATACCGTTGAGTTCTCAATCGCCACCGCCGTCATAAACGTTCCGAAAGCCAATGCTACCTATGCTTACCACCGTACACGGCCTTCCGGCGTGGCCCGCAGTGCTCCGCCTGACATTGCGAGGAGGAAATCCCGCTGCCACGCTGCTGTAGTAAACTTGTGTAAAGCATGAAAGCACGACGCACATGGTGCCTCGCCCTGATGAGATCAACGAGCTATCATCCCTTCATCGGTAGAGGTTGGCGGACGACCGGAGGAAGCTGTCGAACGAAACATGGGGGTGCCTCTGCCGGCGGAATCCGGGGGAAGGCCGGCGGAAGCAAACATCGGCCCTCCAAAAGATGCAGACTGTTTGCCGTAGCCGTTCTGGCTCAAGGGTATTGGCAGTCGTGCTCCCAATCGTTTGGATTGGCCGCATTTTTGTTACCGTACCATCTCCCGCAGCACTTCATTATGGCTTGTCCCCTCGTGTTCGGGATGCTGTTGCTGTTCATGTCTGGCGGCCCCACGGCGGCGGTCCACCTCGCGATTCACCCGAGCGACCTGGTGGACGCGAGCGTGGTAGACCCGGGCAAAGTGAACCTGGTGCTGGGCAAGGAAAAGACAAGCCCGCAGGCCAGGCATGTTGCCGAGGACTTCACAGGGGCCGTCTTCGAGGCGGAGCTCGCCGTGGACGCGAGCGAGGACCCCGTGGCTGCCGATGGCCGCACGGAGGAGCCGTGTGAGAACCCGGCAGCAGGCGACCACTGTCGCAAGGCCGTGGAGTGGTCCAGGGAGGTCGGCATCGGCAAGCATCCGGATTGGTACCCGAACTTGACGGCCGAGTCCTCCTTCCAGGAGGTCCAGGAGTCCTTGTGGCGCCGTGGCAAGGCCGGTTGCAGGAGGCCCTGCCCCGAGCCGGAGACCACGACGGTTGCCTTGCCGAAGGTGGAGGACATGACGGTTGACCAGCTTCAGGGGTTCATCAACAAAGAGTGGGACGGCGGGATCCCCCAGGACGTGTTGGACGGGGGAAGGCTCGACGACAACGCGACCAGCAATGCCTCGTCGGAAAACGAGGCCGTCCCTGCAACCAGCGGAACTGGAGCCGTGCCGATGGTCGACGGCGCGCAGTCGCCAGAAAGCATTGGTCAGGCTGGCTATACGAAGAACGAGTCTGAGGTGGCGGTTGACGCCGCGCCGACACACGAGGCTCTGCAGGAGAGCACCGACCAGGACGCTTCTAGGCAGGAGGGCGACGTCACGACCAGGTCGCAGGATTCCTGGGACAAGAGGGGCGAGGAGGTCAGCGGCGGGGAGCCGACGCTCCCCCAGGACGGCGGCACGAAGAACGAGTCCGAGGTGGCGGTTGACGCGCCGTTGAACCGCGACGCCGCGCCGACGCAAGAGGCTCCGCAGGAGAGCACCGACCAGGACGCTCCTAGGCAGGAGGACGACATGACGACCAGGTCGGAGGATTCCTGGGGCAGGAGGGGCGAGGAGGGTATCGGCGGGGAGCCGACGCTCCCCCAGGACGGCGACGCGAAGAACCAGTCTGAGGTTGCGGTTGACGCGCCGTCGAACCGCGACGCCGCGCCGACACAAGAGGCTCCGCAGGAGAGCACCGACCAGGACGCGTCCGGGCCTCAGGAGGACGACATGACGACGAGGTCGAACACAGCAGAGGGCCTGCCAGCAACGAGCAGCACAGAGCATTCGCCCGAGTCTCCAGAGCAGACCATCGAGCGGAACAGCACGGCTCAGGAGGACGTCCCCGCGAACGCGCCGGGGCTGGAGGACGGCACCAGTCGCCTCGACTTGCCCTCCGCGGACGCTGCGCAGCAGACAGGCAGCGCTGGCGCACCAGTGGCCGGAAAGGACGCGGACACGCCTGGCGCGAGCCCTCCTTCCGCAGACGCCCCCTCGGGCAGCAGCACGGACGGCGCGGTGGGGGACGCGCCGCTGCCGCTCGTCGACAGCGGCGACGCGAGCCTCGATCCCGAGGCCGCCGTGTCCAACGCCTCGACGGGCGAGCCCGCCGACGCGTCCTCCCCCGACCCGCCCACGAGCGGCCCCGCGCCGGCCGAGCAGCCCGGAGCCGCCGCGGAGGCCCTCGGGGCGGGGGCCGCCGAGGACCCCGCGGCCGGGGGCCCCGAGGAGGCCACGTCCGCCGGCCCGCAGGGGCCCGAGGGCTGGAGCGGCGCGGGCGCGCAGCGCCAAGACGACGGCGCCGGCGCCCAGGGCGCGGAGCTGCCCGCGGAGCAGGGCTCGGGCGCCGCCGCCGCGGGCGCGGGGCAGGTGCTGGGCGCCGCCGGGGCAGAGGGCCCCGCCGGCGCGGGCGCGCGAGCGGCGGTGGTGGGAGCCGAGCCGCTGCCGGAGGTGGACGAGGACGGCCTCGACGAGGCGGGCAGGGCGGAGGCGGCGGAGAAGGCAGAGAGGGCGCGGGAGATGGCTGAGGCCGAGGAGCAGATGCGGAGGCAGGTGGCCAGCGAGCTGCGCGAGGAGATGGCGGCGCACACCTCGACGACGGAGGAGTCCCTTGAGAGCATGAAGGAACGGATCAAGGCTGAAATCAAGCAACAAATAATGAAGGAACAGATGGAGGCCAAGATCCGGGCAGAGATCATGCGCGAGATGATGGCTTCAGTCGACACGGATGGTACCAGTACGTCACCGTTGCAGTGATTGGGGGCCCGACGTAAGTGCAGTTGGGTCTTCGACTCGTAACGTTGCAGTGCCACACAGGGCGAGGGTTGGGCGAGCCCAGAAGGTGGTAGATTGACCTTGTCTTTGCTCTCGCCCATTCTGTAAGGACTTGCGCGTGGATCGCCTGGCCCTCGATGCAAGAACAAAGCATGCAGGCTGTTTGGGGCTCCAGTGTGAAGGGCGCGAGTATATTGGGCCGTCCAGCTCTTGTTCGGTTGGGTCCCCCCTGGGGCAGGGCCCTCCCTCCCGGGCCGGCCTGGAGGTGGTCCCTTCGATCAGTCTTTAGAGAGGCCCCCCAGACCATACCTCGCGCCCTCTTCAGGTGCAGGGCTGCCCGAACGGGCCACGCGGCGGGCACCGGGCCCGAGCGAGAGCTGCATGCACGCGCGGCCGCCGCGCCTCTCCAACGGCCCCCGCGCGGCTGGGCACGCGGCTGCCCCGACCCCCCGCGGCCTGCCCTCGCGGCGCGGGCCTGCGGAGAGGGCCCGCGTCGATCCGATCCATCCGCTCCGATACCGTCGGACCGAGGCACAAGATCGAGGTCGGCTCGGGTCGGGGAGGCTGCCCTGGTGTTCTTCGTGCTTGTGGGGTGTTCCTGTGCCTCCTGGGGAGGGTAACCCTTGGATGTCCTATTCGTCTTGGCCGAGGGCGGGCCTCATGTTCTTGAAGGATGCTCTTCTGGCCTGGGTCCGTCTGAGTGGACCTCGGCCGGCCCAAGCCGACGGGATCCCGACGCCGTGGCGATGTGGCGCGGCCTCGTGCCTGCAAGGCGCTGTTGTGCCGCACCGCGGCGTGGCCGGCCCGATTCGGTCCCGACCGCGTGACGACGCGCCCCGACCTGAGGCATCTCTCTCGACCCGGTCCGGGCTCTGCGTCTGGATGTTGGTGGCCCTGAGATCCTGGCGCGCGCGTCTCGCACAAGTTCTGGCCCCGGGGCCCTCACAGATCGGTCCAGCTCGAAGGATGGCGCGGGAGGATGGGGTCCAGGGCCCTGGGCGCAGATTCCACGGCGTCTCACTTTCGGGTCTCAGGGTGCTCCTGCCCGGAGCGGTGTGCCCACCCCGGGGGCTGGTCTTCCGCCACGGGTCGATGCTCGGACGGCCCCAGGGGGCCTGCCAGCGGCACCCCTGGGGCGCCGAGGCTGAAAGGAGAGGCGGCCGCTGTGGTCTCTTCCGTGACGCTGGAGACAAAGGCGCTTTCGAGGGCGCGAAATGATTCGCGCTTCCCAGACCCCCTCGGGTCACGAACAAAATCTCAATTGGAGGTTTTTTATGATTTTCAGCCTCCATGGGGCCCTGACTGGGCATCGGGACCGCCAAGAAACGACTCGGGATGAAAAACCAGTCTCGGGGAAAAGGTCCAGACATCAGGGGGTCGACGTCGTGAACAAACCATGACGCTGGGGGCCCGGGTCTGGGTTCGCGGTTCGGCCCCGATGCCCCCCTCGGACTCCGCCTCGCCCTCGGGGGGCGTCGCGAGAGCGCGAAGTGACTCGCGCGTCGCGCTTCGCGCGGTGTGGAGACCGAGGCTGGGTGCCACTATGGACGCCGAGGACGAGGAAAGGCGACCGCCGTGATCGCTTCCGTGGCGCTGGAGGTCTGGGATCCGCGGTCGGGTGTCGCAGCCCCGCCATCGCCGGGCCGACGTCCCGGCATCACCACTGTCGATACCCAGGCGTTATTTTTGAATCGGCCGCGCGCAGAAGGGGGGGATCAGGGGGAGGGGGGAAGGCTTCTGAGGAGCACGCTGGCTCTGTTAGGAGGCGTGGGCCTTCCCTGTGGATGTCAGGCCCGCGCCTTCTCGGGGGCAGCCTCCTTCTAGGAAGCCCTCCCCCTTCCCCCTACCTCCCGGTGCGCACCGCCAAACCAAGCCGCTGCCTCCCCAGACCAGCGACGTCATATTTTTTCATGACGTCGACCCCCAGAGGTCTGGACCTATTCCCTGGGGCCGGTTTTTCATCCTGAGTCGTTGTTTGACGGTCCCGAGGCCCAGTAAGGGCCCCTGGCGGCTGAAAATGGTGAACAGCTTCCCGTCGCGTTTTTTCATCAGCTCCTCCTCCTCCTCCTCCTCCTCCTCCTCCTCCTCAGCCTCCTCCTCCTCCTCCTCCTCCTCCTCCTCCTCCTCCTCCTCCTCCTCCTCCTCCTTTTCCAGGGCGCGAAGACCACCGCGCTTTGCGCGCCACGGCATGGGCAGGAGCGCTGCCCGTCTCTCAGGGGGCCTCGCGAGGGCGCGCGGGCTCCCCTCGCACCGCGGGGCGCGAAGTGCGGCCAGGTGAACCGGATGCCTTCCCGTGCTTAGTGGGCCCTGGAAACGACAGGGCCGTTTTTTGCCGGTTCCGTGTTGCCGTTTTCTTGCCAGTTCCGACGCCGGTTTTCTTACCGGTTCCGTCGCCGTTCTTTGACCAGTTCCGGCTCCGGTTCCAATCCTGCCTGGAGCCGTTTTTTTTTCCCGTTTCCGGTTGCCGTTTTTTTGCCGTTTCCATTATCAAGGGACATTTTTTTGGAAACGGTGAAAAAATTGCCCTGCCGCTTCCAGGGCCCACGAAGGCTTTCCCGTGGGACCAGGTCGGGCATGCCCCTCTGCAGGAGGAGTATCCGAAAGCAGTGAACGAAAACAGCCCGGGGACGATGTTGCGATGATGTCCGGATTGGTTTTGTGAGCAGTTGTTGACCATGTGTCAGGTTTCCTCCAGGCTCCGCCTCTAGGAGGACATGCCCGACCCAAACCCGGGCGCCTTCCCGCAGGAGGAAGGCACCCGTGAACCGGCGGCGCGCCTGGCCGTGGCCGCCCTCGGGCTTTCCGACGGCGTGCCCTCCTGGCCTCGGCCACGGGAGCGCCTGTGCCACGCCCTTGGCCCAGGGCGGCCCTGGCCAGGCACAGCGGCGGTGGCGCACGGGTGCCCTCCTGTCGACTGCACGTAAGAGTGACCCTTCGCCAGAGTGACCTTCGGTGCGGGCTCATCGGGCTCCCCCCGATCGCCGAGCGCGTGGCGATATACGCGGCCCGCGCCCTGGGGTTTGGCCCCCTCGCGCCCCCAAAAAGCTGCCCACCAAGGGTCACCCTTACCCAGGGTCATTCTCACGTCTAGCCGACTCTGGCGCAGCCTGGGCGAGGCCCAATGCGCCCGCGGCCGCGCCCTTCCCCACGATCCCCAGGCGGCATCACCGTCGTGGGCTTCGGCAGCCTCCTCTCGGAGCGCTCCGCCAGAGGAGGGGAGGGGCGGCCTGGCGGCCCGGAGATTGACGAGAAACCACCAGCATCACACAGAAGCTATTGGAGCTCCGCGCGGGTTCCTCGGATCTGCGCTGGAGCCTCCTGCGGCGCCTCTGGCGCCGTCCCTGGCTCCTGTGCGCCACTCTGGGGGGGGGGGGTCCAGCGCCGATCCCAGAAACCCTCGCGGACCTTCAAAGTGTCTGTTTATATGGTTTTTGCTATGCCCCTGGAGCTTTCCGTAAAATCAGCTACGTGAGCTGATTCTCCCCCACCCACACCCCCTTTGCTATCCCCCCCTTTCGCCCGACTCGACTCTCCCGGGGTCCATGCCGGGCCGTCTCTCGGGGCTGACCTGGCCCCGTGGCGGCGAGAAGCCTCTTGGTGCCCCTCCTTTTGCTCGCGCGTGCCCCGCGCGCGCCTCGGGACCCAGGGGGCGAAGAGCTGCTTTCCCAGGAGATCGCGATTTCCTCCTGCACGAGTGGAGGCGTTGTAAATGTCGGTTTCCTTATGCATCCATGCAGTCGGAGCTGTTTCCTCCTAGCCTTCGCCTGCCGCGCTCGTCGCGGCGCACCTCCTCATCGTCTTGGTGCCCATCGGGTTCAGTGGAGGCGAGGTGCGGTCATGTGACTCAGGCACCGCCTCTCTCTCTCACACACCCACACACACTCACACTCACACTCACACTCACACGCACACACACACACACACACACACACACACACACACACACACACACACACACACACACACGCACACACGCACACGCACACGCAACACACAACACACAAACACACACACGCGCGCTTCTCCTCATCCTCGGTATTTCCTCCATTTTCCGCTTTCTCCTCCTCCTCTTCCTCCTCCTCCTTTTCCTCTCCTCCTCCTCCTCCTCCTCCTCCTCCTCCTTATGCTTACCCTCGTCTTCCTCGTTCTCGTCCTCATCCTCTCGCCCCGCCCGACCAGCCGGCCCTAAGAAGGCGGGCCGCGAAGCGCGAAGTCGAGAGACCCGCAGCCCAGACGTCGAGATGAGGACCACCCCGTGCTCACAAGGGGCTCTGCTTGTCACCACCAACCAGACCACCCCAACCCAACCCGAAGGCTTCGATTTGCCCTCCATTTCCAGTGGGGGGGGGGCAGGGGAACTTTGAAAAAACACATGGTCCCCGTACCCCCCCAAACCCGAAATTAGGGTTAAATTCTTGTCTTCGGGTTGGGTTGGGGTGGTCTGGTAGGTACTCAGCTTACCAGGCGGTACCTCCGACCTGGGCTCCTGGGGTGCCTGCGCGTGGCCGAAGAGCTCGCCGTGGCCCGCAGAGCCCTTCCTGTGCCTTGCCTGGCGCCACTCCCTCCTCCAGCCTCCTCCTCCTCCTCCTCCTCCTCCTCCTCCTCCTTCTCTTCCAACCTCCTCCTCCTCCTCCTCCTCCTCCTCCCCCTCCTCCTCCTCCTCCTCCTCCTCCTCCTCCTCCTCCTCCTAAGTCCCGCCGACCTGCCCCATGATCTTCTCCTCCTCACAGGCAGACGTTCGAGAAACCCCCGGAGGGCGCCAGAGATGGCCGAGAGCGCCTTGGAACAGAAGAAGAGTTCATGATGCATCAACTTCCGTACGACTCCGCCGCCGCCGCCGCCTCGCGCGCTCGCGGGACCGCGAGGCACCTTTCCAGACCTGGCCGGGTTCCGCCTGGCGCGCGTCCGCGGCCACCGGCGGGTCTTCCGCCACCCGGCCGGCATCTTCTTCGAGCGGGGCATCGTGCCCAAGGCTCCCGGCCGTCGTCGCCGTCGTCGTCTGCGTCGTCGTCGTCGGCGTCGCCGTCGTTCCCACTGTCGTCGTCGTCGTCGTCGAGGGAGATGGCCTCCTCCTCCTCCTCCTCCTCCTCCTCCTCCTCCCTCCTCCTCCCTCCTCCTCCTCCTCCTCCTCCTCCTCCTCCTCCTCCTCCTCCTCCTCCTCCTCCTCCTGGGGAGGAAGAAGAGGTAGAGGGGGTACCTACTCCTCCTTCGCCGCCCACCGGAATGTCGAAGAGGAAGGGGGAGAGGACGAGGAGGAGAAGGAGGAGGACGGCGAGGACGAGGACGAGGAGGAGGAGGAGGAGGGAAAGGAGGGCAGGAGGGCGACAACGATTAGGCCTCGTCCCTTCGCTCCCTCAGCTCTCCACCCAGTCTTCACCTGAACCGGTCTGCCCCCATCAGTGCTGGAGAGGGAGACTAGAGGAAGTAGGACGATGAGGAAGGAAAAGCACGCGGAGGAGGAGGAGGAGGAGGAACCCCCTCCCTCTCTTTCTCTCTCTCTCTTTCTCTCTTGTTCTCTCTCTCTCTCTCTCTTTCTTTCTCTCTCTCTCTCTCTCTCTCCCTCTCTTATCCTGCCTGTTTTTGATATCTCTCTATGTTTTTCTCCCTCTCTCTTTCTCTCTGATCTCGGCTCAAGGCACAGGGGTGCCTGCGAGCATTGGCGCAGCCTTCCCGTGCCGAAACCGCTCCCGCCCCCCCAGGGGCGCAATTGATACGTCAATCCCTTTGCACCCGCCAGCGCTCGCAATGGCACCGCCTCGCCCACACCGCCGCGTGGATGCTCAGCACCCAAACCCTCGACGCACAGCGCCCGACCCCGAGAGCAAACTCGTGCGGAAGGACGCATACATCGAGGCTCTCTGCCACGGCGGAGGCGACTGCCCAGTGCCCGCCTATCACGAGCTTGCCCAGCAAGCCGGCGACGCATTGCAGTTGGTAAGGACCACCCACCGTGGTTCTCCAGAAGACCTCCGACGCGCACACCACCGCCTGTGCGGAACCCACAAGGTCTTCTGGACCCGCCTGCACCACGATCGCACCCGCACCAACTTCGACAACCAGGCCATCCTGGATAACGTTCTGAAGATATTCCTGGCGAGTCCTTTGAAGATGGACCCGATTCCTGCTGAAGATTTCTATGGAGAAGTACCTCCTGAAACCACTTGAAGAGCCTCCTGAAGAGGTACCTCCTGACGAGCCTCCTCATGAGCCTTCTGAAGATGTACCTGAAGACTCACCGGATTACGGTGGAGGCGTTCGTAAAGGAACGTGACCAGGAGGCTTCAGACCTTGAAGGTCTCCTTATCTGATGAGTGCGGCGGTGATATGCACGGCCACTCCACGACAGGAGCTCCACAGTTTTCCAGGCCCCGGGTTCCTTATCCAAGGGTTCCTTATCCTATGCCTTCACCGTCCACCGTCTGTACCTGAAGACGTACCTCCTGATGAACAAGGCACGAACCTCCTGAAGATCTTCCTGGCGATCCTCTTAGAAGCTGAACCTGAAGATCTTCCGGCTGAAGATGCACTTGGAGAAGTAGTTCCTGAAACCTCTTGAAGAGTTTCTTGAAGAGGTACCTCCTGACGAGCCTCCTGATGAGTCCCCTGAAGATGTACTTGAAGACGTATGTAACTGAATACGAATCTCCTGGAGAACAAGGCACGAGTCTCCTGAAGATCTTCCTGACGATCCTCTTGAAGATCTCAAGGCTGCGGACGTACCTGCAGAAGTACGCCCTGAAGCCTCCTGAAAAACCTCCTGAAGATGTACCTCCCGACGGGCCTCCTGGGGATCTTCCTGCTGATCATCTTCCTGACGATCTTCCTCCCGAGGATCTCTTCGCAGGAGGCCCCGCCCCTCGCCGCCGAGCCCCCGCTGGAGCTCTGCTCCCCGCGCCGCCGCCGCCGCGGCGCGGCGGCAGCTTCCGGCGCCGACGCCAACACTGCGGAGGGCAGCCCTCCTGGGAAGGCACCGCGCTGACCCTCCCGCGCAGCGTCGAGGATTCCACAGCAGGGGCGCTCCACGCTGCCGCCGCCGGCGCCCCCTCGACTTCGCAGCCGACGCCAGCCCTCCTCTTCATTGTGCTATCACTGCTGTCGCGGGGGCCGCCATGGGCGACGCGGCCGCCAACCCCGCCGCGGACGCGGGCGCGGCCCTCGACACCGTCGCAGCCCCCACGTCGCGTCGAGGGCCACCTACGGGCGCGGCCCCCGACGTGGGCGCAGGCGACGAGCATCACCGACCCGGCGTCGGCAACTGCGACGCGGCGGCCGCCGCGCCCACGCCGCGCGCCCTCGGCGCCCCCCCGCTGCGCGGCCTGCCACTCGCGCTCGCGACGCCCTTCGGCCCCGACGGCGCCGCGGAGGGGGCGCTGGGCCCGAACGCGGGCCCCTACCCCCCCGGCGCCTGCTCAGCACGCCGCCGGCGGGCTGCAGGACGCCGACTCCCTGGGGCGACGTCGACTTGGCGCCCTGGAGGCTGGCGACGACTGCCTGTGCGCCGCCGCCTGGCGTGCACGTCGAGTGGACAAACCTCCGAGCGCGCCGCCTCTCCGCAGCCGTTGCCGCGCGGCCCCCGCTGGGCCGCCGCGCGCAGCCCTTCGCCCGCCGCCTCCGCCGCCTCGCCCGCCCCTTGCACCCCTGCGAGTGCGACCAGTCGGCCGAAGCAGCTGGCGCAGACGGCGCAACTTCGACCCAGTCCACTGCCGACGTCGACCGCCGCCCCCTCGCGCGGCCCCGCCGCCGACGCCCCAGCCCTCGCCTGCAGCGCCGTCGCCTCCGACGGCCGAGACGAGCGCGACGCTGCCGGCGCCCTTTTTTCACGACGCCACTTTTGCGCGCAGCCCTTTCTCACGACGCCCTTCTCCCACGACGCCGCCGCACTTTTTGGGCGACTCAGCGCCACGCAGCGCGCCGCTGATGGTTGCGACGCCCCCCGACCCCGACGGCGCCGCAGTTGCGCCAGAGACGCCCCTCCAAGGCGACGCTCGCGCCGAGGCCCCGCTCTGCCCCGACATTGGCGCTGACCCCGCGCCGTCCAGCGCCGACGCCAAGTCGGCGGAGGCGCCCAGCGTCGCGCTGGTAGACGCGACCCCTGGCCCTGGCGCCCAGTCCCCGGTCCGGTCGCCCCACGGTCGAGCGCCGCGCGAGGCTCGGCGACGGGCACCCCTGAAAAACCCTGCGGCGAGGCCGTCGGGCGCTTGCGGAGCTGCCGCCCCCAGCGCGCCCCGTCGCCTCCCAGGCTGGCGGTTCAGTGCCCCCCTCCCCAGACCCCCTCGCGTCGTGAAAAAAACACGACGGGAGGTTTTTCGCTATTTTCGCCCTCTGGAGGTCCTCACCGGGCCTCGGGACCGTCAAAAAACGACTCAGGATGAAAAACCGGTCCCGGGGAAGGGGTCGAGAGCTCCAGGGGTCGACGTAAGGAAAAAATCATGACGTCGGGGGTCTGGGTCGGAGGCTCGATGCGCGTCGGCTCCAGAGTTGTCGTGCACAGTCAGCTCTGCAACCCCATCAACGGACTTCACGGCGTGGTCGCCCAGGCGGGTCGTCCACCTCGCAGACGGCTGCGTCGCCCGTTTCCGGACGCCCAGCCTCTGCCCTTGCGCCGTCTTCCACGGCCTCGCCGGCCGCGGAGGAAGTTCAGCTCCATTGCGCGCCCCCCCCCCTACAACGTCGGCTCAGCACGACGCCCGCGAGCAGGAGTTCTACGATCTCCAGGACGACGTGGGCGCGGCGCCTCGCGCGCAGCTGCCAGCGCCCCGACGCCTTGCGCAGACGCAGAGGCCGCCAGCGCCCCGGCGCCTCGCGCGGACGTCGGGTGCACCACCCTACGAACGCAGCGCCTCCTCGCCGCAGCTGCTGCGCGGCCCCCGCCGGGTTGGCGCATGCAACCGTTTGCCCAGCGCCTCCGTCGACTCGCAGGCCCCTCGCACTCCCGCGAGGGCGAGCGGACGGCGGTGGCCGCCGGAGTTGCCTCCACTACCCCGACCCAGCACCCCAGCGCCGTCACCGACAGTGCAAGGCCTACGCTGACCGACGTCGCCGCCACTGGCATTATGGCCAGCGCGTCCCCCGACGCCGATGCCCCGCAGGGAGACGGGCAACTGGCAGCCACGACGGGCGCCGTGCCGCCGGCAGCAGGCGCGGGCGAGTTCAGCTCGGCCGCGCGCGCCGAACCAGGCTCCCCGCACGCGCCGCAGCTCCCGCGCGCCCCCTCCGCCCCTGTGAGGAGTGACACCGCGGCCGACGCAGCTCCAAGAGACACCGATCTCTGGAACGACGTTCTAACTGGTCTGGGCCTGGATCCTGTCACCGGCCCCACCCCGGGAGGGCCCCGCGCTAACGTAACGCCGGCCGCCAGCAGACGGCCCCAGCGGCGCCGCGGACGAGGCCAGCACCCACGTCCAAGCCGAGCAGCCTTTGCCCAGGGCCCTGCCACAAGATGACACCTGGCCGAATTGGCCGCGGCCCCCGCCGCGCCGGCCGCCGACGGTGACCGCGCCGCGGAGCCAGCACCTACGCCCAGTAACTCACTTGGCGATGAGACGCATCAGGCGACTCCTCGCTGCGGGAGTTGCCTGCCTCAGGCACGGGCCCCTCCCGATATGCACCCCCTGGGCAGTTGCCTCGAAGCGTGCGCTTGACGTCCTTGCCCAGCACCTAGCACACGACGAAGCCCCGACTGCCGTCACCACCGACGCGGCGCCGCCGGCCCCGGCGCGCGCCACCCACGCCGCTGGAGCCCCAGCCCCCCCCCCCGCCCACGCGAGCGGTGAAGGGACACCGCCTCTGCCGCAGAGGCCCGACGACCGATGGCGCCAGCGGCGGCTCCACGCCCGCGAGCACCGCGGACCGGCCCTCGGCGTCAGCTCCCCGCCACGCGCTCTTCGCGATGGCGATGCTCCTGCTCCTACGGCCCCGCGCTTTCCATGCCGCGCAGCCCAGTTAGCATGGTGACCCCGAGGCCCAGGACCTCTGCCCTGCCGCGCCAGCCGCGACCTGCCGTGAACAGGCCACGCCCGACGTGCCCAGCAGCACCTTCGGAGGCCCCACCAGCGCCCACGGACGGAGGTTCGCGACGTTTCGGCGTGGCGTCGGCGATGCATCGGCGATGCTTCGACGTTGTTTCGGCGACACCAGCGATGCATCGGTGGCCCCCACTTCGTGCCGCATCACGATGCAAACGGGCTCCACATCGAGCCGCATCACGGACGCATCGTCGATGCAGCGCTCCACCCACAGCGCTTCGGAGACGGCTCAGCCGTCTACTGACTGCAGTGCCCTGCTGACGAGCCCTGGTCTCACGACGGGCAGCAGCAGCAGCAGCAGCAGCAGCAGCAGCAGCAGCAGCAGCAGCAGCGGCTGCTCTGAGTACGGCACCGCGTGCCCCAACGACCAGCAACAGCCTGACGGTAGCTACTTCGGTGCCAGCGTGAGCCCCACTAACACCAGCTCACGGGCCACCACCCTGCGCACCGCCGACCAGATAGGGGCGGCCACTCCAGCACTTGCGTATGTCAGCGTCACGGCTGCCGAGCTGCAGTCCCTACCACACCGCTCCGCGCTTCCCCCGTACCAGAACGGACGCACGCGCGGCGCTGCCGACGGCCGACGCCGCCTCCCGCAGCAGGCAGCCCCGGCCCAGGGGTCCGAGGTCGACCGCGACCACGTCAGCCTCGGTGGGCCTTCGGACCCACACTCTGATCACCTTCACCTCGGCTTCAGTGGCCCAAGCGGCGCGAGACCGCATCATGCGCCCCCTCGCGGCGGGAGCGGCCTGCCTCTGGCACGGGCCTCTTCCGCCAGGTCCCACGACCTCTGCCCCGCCGTGCCAGCCGCTAACGGCCGCGAACAGATCACGGCCGACGAATCTGGCAGCACGTGCGGCGGCCCCACCGGCGCCCACGGACTGAGGCTCGCGACGCATCGGCGATACTTCGACGAAGTGTCGGCGATGCATCGATGATGTATCGGCGACATCAGTGAGATTCGGCGACGCCACCGTAGAGGAAAACGGGCTCCACCTCGAGCCGTAGCGCGGACGCATCGGCGACGCAGCGCTCCACCCACGGCGCGTCGGAGACGGTTCAGGCTTCCCCTGACTGCAGTGCCCTGCTGGCGAGCCCCGGCCCTGCGACAGGCAGCAGCCGCTCGGAGTATGGCACCAGAGGCCCCAACCACCAATCCGACGTGAGCCACCGCGGCGCCAGCGAGAGCCCTGCTAATACTGGCGTGCGGACCACCCCCCGCGCACCGCCGACCAGGTACAGTCGGGGCCCTGAAGAAGGAACCCTTTTCGTTGGGGAGGGGCTCCGTGTTCCTTAATTGTTTCGCAGCTTGCCTTGGATTTTCCTTAGGTTTTCGTTGCGAAGTCGAAGTTCAGCTTATGGAAAAAAGGGGCCTCGTTCTTTATTTAGGGCTCCTTAGGTCAACGCCTCGACTGTAGCGGCGGCCATCCGAGCACTCCTACAGGGCAGTCCTGCGGCTGCTCGGGCGCAGCCTCCGCGCCGCCCCGAGCTGCCCCTTCTCGACAGCTCGGGCGCATACACGGCGCTGCCGACGGCCGACGCCGCCTCCCTCCGCAGGCGGCCCCGGCCTAGGGGCCCGAGGGTCACCGCGACCCCCTCCGCCTTCGCGGGACCACGGACCTCCATGCGGATCACCATTGCTCAGGAGGGGAACACACACACACACACACACACACACACACACACACACACACACACACACACACACACACACACACACACACACACACACACACACACACACACACACAATCGTCGATCCCCAGGAGAATATGGGAACACATGGGAAGTGGGGGGGCAGACAGAAACCCAGAAAACACAGGAAACTATAGGGAATATTTTTATTTGTGTGCATTTATTTGTGTGTCCCAGGGCCCCTCCTCCTCCTCGTGGCCCCAGCGTTGCGGGGGCGCATCATGCGCCCCCTTGTGGCGGGAGCGGCCTGCCTCGGGCACGGGCCTCTCCCACCGGGCCCGCTTCCCGCGAAGAGGCCCAGACGCGGCCTCCCCACGAGGGCCCCGGGCCCTGGGACACACAAATAAATACACACAAATAAAAAGACCCCCCATATTTTCCCATATTTTCTGTGTTTTTGTCTTCCCCCCCACTTCCCAATTTTTCCCATATTTTCTGGGGAATCGCCGATTAATTGTGTCTGTGTGTTTCTTTCCCTCCTGAACGAGGGCCCGGGGTCCCAGGCGCTTTGCCCCGCCGCCTCTGCAGCGAGCGGACGGGAGCATGCCGCATTCGACGAGCCGGGCAGCGCCCTTGGAGGCCCCGCCTGCGCCCGCGGGGACCCCGCTCGGCGCTTCACTCACGGCGCGTCGGTGCCGGCTCCGCCTCCTCCTGACCGCAGTGCCCCGCCGATGAGCCCTGGCCCCACGACGGTCCACATCAGCAGCACGGAGCCGCTTCAGGCCGCCCCTCTCCGGGTGGAAGGCCTGCCTCGGGCAGCGCCCTCCACCCACGGGGCCCAGCCTGCCGCTATCGAAGTCACGCCACTCGCGCGACCAGGCCACCTCTTTCCTCCCCTGGCCGTCCTCCCATGACGGGTGACCAGGCCACCTCTTTCCTCCCCTGGCCGTCCTCCCATGACGGGTGTGGGAGGCTTCCTTTAGCCGACAGCGTTGTCCAAAGTGCTTCGGGTGCGGCGCGCTTGCCCGCCGGCCCGAGGACGGAACTCCGCCCAGATTGTCCGATCTCTTTGTTGACATCTCTCTCTCTCTCTCTTCCTGTTTTTTTGTTTCTCTCTCTCTCTCTCTCTCTGTTTCTTTATACCTCTCTCTCTCTCTTTATCGCTCTTCTTTTTGTGTTTATTATCCTTGTCTCTCTTTCTCTGTCGCGCTCTCTCTCTCTCTCTCTCTCTTTTTTTTATATATATATATATATATATATCTCTCTCTCTCTCTCTCTCTCTCTTCGTTTTCCCATTACCGTCGGCCGCCTGACAGGATACACTGGAGTTCTCCTCGTTGTCCGTGGAGCCCTGCGAGGGTAGCTCCATCGTCGTTGCTGTTATGGACATCCCGGACATGGACATGGACGCCTTGGCAAAACGGGAGGAGGACCGCCCCGTTGTTCTTCGGGCCCTCGGCGCGATCTCCTTGCCTGCCGCCGCCGCGATCGTTTGATGGCACCTCCCCGCTCTCCTTCTCGTCGCCTTCGTCCCCCCCCTGCTCTCCTGCCCCTCCTCCCCCTCCTGGCCCATCTTCCTTCCTCCAGCCGTTCCTTGTCGCCCCTCGTCGCCGGGCGCGCCCCTGATTCTCCAGTCTTCCCCCGCGGCCGCCTCCTTCCACCGCAGGTGCGGGTGCGCAGCCAGCTCTGCCGCGTCTCGACTGTCGCGGCACAGCGCCTCGCGCCTCCACGCCGCCGCTGACCACGCTGGGCCGCGACGCGGCCTCGGGCTCGTGCCGCGGCCGTGCGCTGCGGCCGCGATGGCGGCCGCTCTCCGCGGAACACCGCGTTGAGCTTGCGCTGCTGGCTTGCTAGCTGCCGCACTGGCCTCTGCCCGCGCGCTGCGCGGCATCGGGCGGCCGCCTGCGCGGCGAGTCTCCCGTGGAGCGCGCGGGCGGCCGGCTGCGGCGGCATCTGCGCGCTGACCGGCCGCGGCGTCCGCCCGCGGCCGCAGGCCCCGTGGGTCGAGAGCGCACAGAGTCAAGCAGTGCCGATGCTTCTCGGCCCGCCTATATTCCCACCAAACACTGTTCCGAGCACCTCGTGGTCCCCACGAAGAGTTCTTTGACACTTTCTGGCCGGGGCCGCCTTGTTTTGATACATCGAGTTTATTTTCTAAGAACATTGCTGTTGTTCTTTGAACATTTCTGGGTTCTAAGAACATTTCGTAGTAGGACTATAGGAATGCTGGGACGGTCGGTCCCTGCTCAACAGAGGTGGCCGAGGCATCGCGGGGCCACCCTCTGCAGATCGCGCCGTGGCGAACGATCGCCCAATTTTGACAGGCTGGCGCAGCGTGGATCCGGCGTGTTCCGTTGGGCGCGCGGAGCCTGGTACGATGTGACGGGGGCGGAGCTGCGCCAGCGGGGGGCGGTGGCTGGCATCCTTGGGCTTGCACCCCTCGAAAATCATTTCGCAGAAGGCTAAATGGGATGGCGGTTCCAAAACGGAGAACCGCGCGGAGAGTTCTCGAAAAAAGTTTGAAGCAGGTTCCAGAGTAGAAGTTTGTTCCAAACAATAGCACAGCAGGTGCTTCACGCGGGACCTCCTCGAAAAGCAGGTTCGAACCAGGTTCCAAAGTCGGTTCCAAACAACAGAAACGCTGGCGTGCGGGACTTCCTCGAAAAAGTATGTTCGAACCATGTTTGAAGTCGGTTCCAAACGATAGAACAGCCGGCGTCTATTGCGGGACTGATTCGGTTGGAAATGATTGAATATTGAGCGTTTCGTGCGGGACTTCCTCGAACAACATGTTCGAACAAGGTTGGAGCGAATACAGCAGTGAGCAGCTCGTTTGGAACCTACTCGAAAAATAATTCGATGATGCTGCTGCTGTGTCGCGCCCGCACAGACCACAGCGTGGCGTTCACACAGGGCGGTCTTGTGTTCCTTTCTGCATCTTTCGACATTCTTCTGCGCCGTGCCCAAGAGCGCCGCAGTTGCAAATTTTGGCAACATTTTCACCACGCCAGTGCATGGCGGCCGCGGCGGAGCTGCGGCCTGGTCGGCCGCAGCGTCCTCCCGCGACCGCAGGTTCCGTGGGCGGAGCGTGCAAGTTGTGGGTGGGCGGGCCGCCGCGGGGTCGCCCTGTGCTCATGGCCGCTAGTGGCGGCCGCGACGGGGTCTGCGAGCTGGTCAGCTGCGGTCTCCGTCTGCGGCCGCAGGCTCTGTGGGAGGGGACTGGCGGGCGGAGGGCGGGCTGGCGCGGGGCTGCTTGCCGCTGCGGCGGCGCCCCGCCAGCGCGCAGGAGTATGGGCTGTCCTCGGCGAAGCTCAGTCGGCCGATTGGCCAGCCTCTTAGTGGGCCCTGGAGACGACAGGGCAGTTTTTTACCGGTTCCGTTTTGCCGTTTTTTTGCCGGTTCCGACGCCGTTGTTTTACCGGTTCCGTCGCCGTTTTTTGACCGGCTCCAGCTCCGGTTCCAATCCTGGAGCCGTTTTTTTGCTGTTTCTGGTCGCCTTTTTTTGCCGTTTCCATTTTCAAGGGAATTTTTTTGGGAATCGGTGAAGAAACGGCCCTGCCCTCTCCGGGGCCCACAAAGGCCAGCCTCCGTCGATCGTCGCAGGCTGCATCTCGCCACCAATCCCCGAGCTTAGAGCCAAAAAACAAGCCGCTCAGAAATGCACCCCCAAGGAGCTGTTCGGGCGCGCACTTCTCGAGGACGGACGACGCCCCCTCCATCGTAGATCCCTGGGCCTGGCCCCAACATTTGACGCCCTGTCGAAACTTACACACAGTCGGGGATTGGGGTCGCCATGCCCGTGAGGAGAGGCTGGAGGAGGAGGAGGAGGAGGAGGAGGAGGAGGAGGAGGAGGAGGAGGAGGAGGAGGAGCACCAGCAGCAGCAGCAGCAGCAGCAGCAGCAGCAGCAGCAGCTGCAGGAGGAGGCGGCAACGACAAGTCGACGACGACGACGATGCTTTGCGGGCGCCCTTCGCGTCGGGTCTCCCGCCGCGCAGGCCCTCACCGGCAGCTCGCGGGCCCTCGGAGGCGCTGTCCCTCGGGGGCAGGGCGAGGCTCCGAGAGCGCTCCTTGCGCTCGGCCCCCCCCCCCGCAGGGGAAGACGCGGGAGCCACGGCGGGAGGCTCGCAGCTGCGGCGCCGGGCTGCTGGTGGCGGCCAGCAGCCCGAGCCGTGCCCGCAGCGGCAGCAGCGAGCGAGAACCAGACGGCGAAGACGCTCGCCCGCGACGACCTCTCTGCGACGCGGGGGGGCCCTGGGGCGACGGAGGCCCCCAGCTCCTCGAACCTTCGGACGACATCGGACGCCATCGGGCCCTCGAGCCCTCGGGCCCACGAGCCCTCAGGTCCTCGGGCCCGCGGGCCCTCGGCCCTCGAACCCCCGAACCCTCGAGCCGCACCCGCAACCCATCCAACCCAAGTCCCCCCCCCCCGCCCACGGGTGCCTCTCCTTCCCGTCTCCTTTCCCCTCCACCCCACCCCATGGTAGGTGAGCACCCGATATTGGGACATCCGAGGTAATGAATCGTGGGCAACAAGCTGGTGCACCCCCCCCCCCACCTGCTGGCCCCCCGGGGGGGGCCTTTGCCAGACGTTCGATGATATTCATGGGGGCAGCCTGGGTTCCCCGATCTTCTCCGACGAAATTCGGGCAACAAGCGGGTGCCCTTCTTCAGGCTGTGAAGATTGGCGCTCGCCTGTTCTCCGAAGCTCGGGGGGCCCAGGCTGCCCCCCCTCCTCCCCCCAAATTTCCCCGAACTTCGGGCAACCGCAAAAAATAGTCAGTTTTGGTCCCCCCCCTTTTTTTTCTCTCGGCGGTGAACAGGGCTGGTTCTAAAACCTTCTCCTCCTCCTCTTCCTCCTCCTCCTCATCCTCCTCCTCCCGGAGGCCCGTGGACTCTTGAGGTACTGGCGCTCCTCCTCCTCCTCCTCCTCCTCCTCCTCCTCCTCCTCCTCCTCCTCCTACTCCTCCAAGCGCAGTCGCAGTCGCAATCGTAGCCGTAGTCGTAGTCACAATCGTAGTCGTCGTAGTCGTATTCGCCATCGTAGTTGTAGCTGTTGTCGTCGTTGTTGCGCGGTTGGTGCCGCGGAACAAAAACAGCCTATTGGTGGACCCGAGTCTTTCAATAAGGCCGCCGAGGAAACAATGAGTTACCCCCTATTGGGTGTCTAAAGACGCCCAGGATTCACAAGCGGGTGTCCATGCCAGGGGGTGAAGGGGGCACCCATTTGTTACCCGAATGATTTCGGGTAACAAGCGGGTGCCCATTTCAGGAGGTGGCACGGGCACCCGCGTGTTATGCGAAAATCCTGGGAGGGGCCGGGCTGGCCCCGTGGATTTCTCCCCGAAGTTTGAGTAACAAGCTGATGCCCATCTCAGGGGTTGACGTGGGAGCTCCGCTCGTTACCCGAGTTTCGGGAAGCCCAGGCAGCCTGGGCTCCGCGAGTTGCGGGTAGCAAGCAGGTGCCCATGTCATCCCCTGAAGCGGGCACCCACTTGTTGCCCGAAATCCGGGAAGCCCAGGCTGGCCCACCGAGCTTCCCGGAGTTTCGAGTAACAAGCGGGTGCCCCTGTCAGGGGGTGCACGGGGCCCCCGCTCGTTGCCCGAATCCCGGGTACATTCGGGGAGAGCCGGGCTGCCAATCCGAATTCCCGATATTTTCGGGGAACAAGCGGGTGCCCGCTTCAGGGGAGAAATGGGCACCCGCTTGCTGCTTCAATTTCGGGGAGAAGCGGGCACCCGCTTGTTGCCCGAATTTCGGTGAGCCCAGGCTGCACCCCGCTGAATCTCGGGGAACCAGCGGGTGCCCATTTCAAAGAGTAGCATGGGCACCTGCTTGTTACCCTAACTTCGGGAAATTTGCTGTAACAAGTGGGTGCCCGTTTCAGGTGGTGAAGTGGGCACTCGCTTGTTACCCAGACTTCCCCCTCGACTTTTTATTGTTGGGTAACAAGCGGGTGCCCATTGGGGAGTGAGCTGGGCACCCGCTTGTGTTCGAATTTCGGCAGATTTCGAGGAGCCCGGGTCGCCCCCCTCAGAATTTTCCAGGATTCCTGGGGAGCTCTGGCTGCCCCCCGAATTCCTTTTTAATGAACACGTTTACGGTCAATGTGTGGGCGCAGGGGTAATGAGCGAACGCTGGCCGCATCAGAATGCATGGCAGCCTTTGTGGATCAGGGCCTGGGAGGCCTGGGATGCTCCCTGCTTGCGCCACCGCGCGCCCCGCCGCCCCGCGGGCCCAGCGGCCTCGGATCCGCGGCTGGTGCGCTGGGCGCCTCTCCGAGGTCGAGAGTTTGGCCCTCGCGGAGGGCGGGTCGCTGCTGGAGGTGTGCGAGCTGTGCTACCTCCTCGCGCTGGCGCGCCAGGCGGCGCGCGAAGCGCGGCTGGCGCCGCAGGAGCGGGCGCTGCTCGTCAAGCAGGCGCGGCTGCTGGCGGCGCAGATCACGGCGCTGTAGACCTTGTCGCCTGATGCCGCCTAAGGCCAAGGGCAAGGCCAAGGCCAAGGCCAAGGGCAAGGCGAAGGCGAAGGCCCTTCCTGCGCCTCTCGCTGCCGCCCGCGGGCGAGGCGCTGGCCGCGGCGGAGGACGTGGCGCTCGCGAGCGCGTTGGCGCAGCTGCTGGAGCGGCAGGGGCGCCCGTCGGCCTCGGAGGCGGCCTCGCGCCCGCAGCTGGAGGTGCAGCTGGCGGGGGGCTGGAGGCGGCGCTGCTGGGGTGCCAGTGGTGCCGGGGCTCGGCGGCTTCCCTGGCCTGCCTGGAGCCCCCCCCCCTGTCCTCGGGGCGCCTGGCGACGGCGCGGGTGGCGGCGGCGGCGGCGACGTTGGAGCGGCGCTGGTCGGGGCGCTGGCCGGTGCAGGCGCTGGCGGTGCTGGAGGCGCGGGCGCGCCGCCTGGCGCTGGGCCCGCGGGGCCGGGCGCTGCCCTCGGCGTGCTGGGAGGCGCGGTCGTCCCGGCTGCGGGGCTGCAGCTTGGCGGGCTCGTCGACGGAGCCTGGACGCAGGCCTCCACCCTCATCGGGGCCAACTGGAGCCAGGGCCTGGCCGTGGAGCTGCCGACCCACGAGGCTACGGGGGCGATCAGTGGGACCGCGCTGTTCGAGATCGATGAGGTCGGTGTACCAGGTGCTGGAGGTCAGTATCTCACCGCGCAGTTCAGGGGCGCGTCGTTGCCCGCCGAGGCGATGCGCTTTGACGGCGCCTTCCCTCCGCTGGGCGGGGGTCCTGCTGGGCTTCTGCACCTCTGTGCGCAGGGGCCTGCGCGGTGTGGCGAGCCTGCGCAGGCGGGCCGCGCCGTCCTGCACGTGGAGTGGCTGCGGCTGCGCTCGACCCACGGGCTGGTGGAGCCCTGGGTGCGCCCGAGCGTCTTCGGCGGCCGTGGCGGTGGAGCTGGTCGAGGCGGTCCCTCTCCCATCCCTGGCGGAGCCGCCGCCGAACGCCTGGCGGCGGCAGCAGCTGCCCACGCGCTTGCGCTCGGAGGCGGTGCCAGCCGCGGGGTGACAGGCCGCGGCAGGCGTCGGGCTCGCAGTGAGTCTGGCAGCCGCAGTGATGGCGAAGGCGAGCCGCGTTTTCGCGATGCCCCCTCTCGCGGCGGCGGCGTACGGCTGCTGGCGGAGAGACAGCCTGGCGCCCTCTGCGACGAGGCGATGCAGAACATCGCCCGCGTCATGGGCCTGCGGGAGGGGGCGGACGGTTCCGAGACGAGGCCGAAGGTGGTAGGCTATTTGCAGGCCATCGTGTTCGGCCACCACCCCGTGTCCCAGCTGCGGGTCAACACGGTGCGGGAGCTCCAGACCTTGGCGACGGCGCTGGGCCAGTTGGAAAGCGGCTCTCTGCCGCAGTTGAGCGACGTGCTGATGCAGAGGTTCAAGGTTCTGGAGCTCTCGCTGTCGGGCGCGGGCTGGCAGGTTGCGAGCGAGCTCGAGATCGTCCCAGACGTGAGGCCGTCGCTGGCGTCGATGGACGAGCAGGATCTGGCGCGGCGCTCGGCGCTGCTGAGGAGGCGCTTGGAGGAGGCCAAGAGCCGCGGGGCCTTCGGGGCGCTCGGCCGCGGCCAGGGGCGCGGGTGACCCGAGGGGGGGCGGGGGGGGACCAGCGGCCGCGCTCCCCCTCTCGAGCCGCGCTCCAGCCAGCGCGGGAGCTCTCGCGCGGCAAGGGCAAGGGTCGAGGTCGCGGGCGTTTCGCCAGCGGCAGCGCCTCAGGCCGAGGAGGCACCCGCCGCGGCGCCCTCAGGCCCCCGCGCGCGGACTCCGCCCCCCCAGACGGAGCGGACCCCCCGAGGAGACAGCCCTCACCCGCGCCGAGCTGTGCTAGCGGGGGGCCCCGAGCGCCGCACCTTCAGGCAGGACGAGCCAGCAGCAGCGGCGTCGGCTCCCCAGGGAGCAGGACGCGGTCGCCCGAGACGCCGCGGCGGGAGGGGACGCAACGCAGGGAGGGCCAACGGCTCGCGGCCCCGCCCGCCTGGCGGCCGCGGGACTGCCCCCCCGGCGGCGGCGCGGTGACAGCCCGCGGCGACGATGCCCTTGCTGATGACGCCCGGGACGCAGCAGCCGCTTCGTTGCAGGCTGCTGCGCCGTGCGGACCGCCTGGGGCTTCGCCGTCGCGTTCGCTATCTGACCACTGCGCTGCGACCCCGCTGGAGCTGCCGCCTGCCACTGCTGATGAGAACTCTTCTCGACACCATCCACTGGAGGACTGTAGAGAGCTTACTGGGGCTGCTGGAGACTTGCTCCGTGAGCCTTATGACGTGGGCCCGATCCTCCTCAACCTCGCCAAGGGTTTCCCTGGTTCATTCGGTCGCTACGTCCGCGACTCCCTCAAACCTCAGCTGCGCGAGCACATGGCCACCATGGGAGGTCGGCTGCCACGCGACTTGCTGCCGTTACCGTACCCTACCATCGTGAAGACCGACGTCGTGCGCGACGGCGATGACCTTAGCGACATGAACTGGGATGCGCCCCACTGCAGGCTGGTTGCCACGGTGCTGGCGCTCAACGGGGAGGCAGGCTTCCGCTCGCTGAAGTTCGCGCGCCTCGGCCGCAGGCGCCCGAGCGCTGCTCAGCGGCCAGCCTTGGCTGCCCTGGGTCGCCCCCTGTATCTGGCGACGCGCATCGAGTCCGGCCTGCCTGCAGAGCTCAACTGGGAGGACCCTCTGAAGGACCGCAAGATCGGCTACGGCGGCGCCGAGACCACCGCGCCTCACGAGCTGACCTTGGAGCAGGTGCTGGACGGCTTGCTGGCGCCTGGGGTTGCGGCCTCGATTGAGGCTGCCGAGGTCGCGACGGGCTTCGTGCGCGACTCGTTGCTGGATCCTGGGCTGATGCTGCTGCCGTCTGCGCTGAGCCGCGCGGCGCCGGCTTCGGCGCGGGCCTACGACGCCCCTGTCAAGTCCCAGGACGGGGTGCTGAGGCCCGTGCTCAGGCTCATCTCCAATCTGATCCCGTCGAGAGCCTGCCAAGAGTGCATCGTTGGCGACGCGCCCGAGATGCCGACGATGAGCCAGCTGAAAGGCCTGGTCTTGACGGAGTCTGAGGACTTGGTGTGGTGCGGCGCCGACAGGAAGGCCTTCTTCTACGCCTTCCGCGCGCCGCCGCCGTGGTGGCCGTACATGGGGATCGGGCCGCCAGTGCCGTCGCGCCTACTGGGTCTCAAGGACGGCGGCACTACCCACATCTGCCTGCGCGTGATCGGCATGGGCTGGATCAGCGCGGCGGGGGTCGCGACTCATTTTCATCGCAACACACTGCGTCGCAGCAGCGCGGTGCCTCGCGGCCTGTGCCCCAGCTGGGAGATTGCCCGGCGCCGCCGCCTGCCGCTTGGCGCAGAGAAGTCCTGCCCGCCTGCCTGGGTGATGGTCGGCAACTTAGAGATCGCCGAGGTCGTCGACGAATCTGAGGCCGACAAGCTGCGCGGGGGGGTCCCCGAGCTGCTGTCTAACGCTCGGGCCTGCTACGAGGCCACAGGGTCGCCTGGGTCCCCAGGCAAGGACCTGCACCGCGTGGTGGGCGCTACCACGCTGGGCGAGCTTGTTGATGGCGTTGAAGGTGTCCGTCGGCCGCCTGCAGGATACATCGCTGTGAAGGCCAGCCTCGCGCTCTGGGTTCTGGGCAAAAGGCGGGCCAGCATGCAACTGAAACGTATTCTTCCTGGGCGCTGGGGTCGCGTGCACTGCGTCCGCCGCCCGCTGGCCGCGAGCTTCGCTTACACCTGGGAGTGGCTCAGCGACCCGCGCTGTGGAGGCCGCTTCAGCGTGAGCGTGATCGAGGACTTGCTGATGTGCCTGGCCTTGTCGGGGCTCTGCGTGGTCGACATGAGGCTCGAGGTCGACCACCTGGTGACGGCCTCGGACTCGTCGGAGGCCGCTGGAGCCGTGGTGTACAGCACGGCGCTTACCGAGCGCGGGTGCGCCGTCGCGGGCAGGCGCCAGCGGCCCGCGAACGCCGCCCGCGAGGAGGAGACCGCCCTGATCACCGTCTTTGATGGCATCGGCGGCGGGCGCGGAGCCTTCGAGATACTGGGCCTGGCACCAGCGGTTCACCTGCCGTTTAGGGTCGACCCGCAGGCGGTCTGCGTTACGCGGCGCGCTTATCCTGGCACGCAGCATCTCGGGGATGTTACATCTGCTGACCCCGCTGCCTTGGCTTGCCTACTGCGGGCCCGCGGCCGCGTCGCCCGCGCGGTGGTCATCGGCGGCTTCCCGTGCCAGATCTACACGAGCTTGAACGTCGACCGCAAGGGCTCGTCGGACTCGGACGCCTCGCTGGTCGATCACATGGTGAGGGTCATCCGAGGGCTGCGTGCAGCCATGCCCGAGAGCGTTGATTCCCTTGCAAAAAATGTTGCATCAATGGCAGAGTCCGACGTCCTTCGCCTCAGCGGGTTGTTCGAGCGGTCCCCCTTGGAGGTTGAGGCTGGTGACGTCGGCTGGGTGAGGCGTCCTCGTCTCTACTGGCCGTCCTGGGACTTGCTACCGTCGTGCGAGGCCAAGACCGTGATGGTGCTGACCAAGGACGGCGCCTCTCGCCGCCTGTGCTGCGTGTCGCTGGAGGTGGAGCGCCCGCCGCTGGAGGAGTGGCTGCCGGCTGGCGCTCGCTGTCCTGGAGCGGAGGGGGACAAGCCCCTTCCCAACGCTCGCTCGCTGGACTCCGCGCTCGCAGCCGCGCCCCAGGCCCGCGGGCATCGGGGAGTGCACAGCTGCTGAGATAATGCGCTGGAAGGAGGCGGCCTTTGCGGCGCCGCCCTGCCAGTTCCATGACAAGTGGTGCATTCATTGGCCTGACGGACGGATCGCGCCTCCTGGCGCGGTGGTGAGGGAGAAGCTGATGGGCTTCGCCGAAGGCCACGCCGTGCTGTGCATGACCAGCAGTGAGGCAGAGGCCGAGCCCGTCGAGTACGAGGGATTGAGGCGTTCGCTGGTCGGCAACTCGTTCCAGTGCGTGGTGGTGGCGTGGCTGCTGGCGCACTGGGCTGTCGCTGCTGGGCTGCTGGTGGCGATGCCGCCGTTCTCCGAGCTGCACGAGAGCGCTCGGGCCTGGGTCGGCGGGCGCAAGCTGTGGGCTGGCGACGTCGCCTCGCTGCGACGCAGCCGTGCGAAGGTCGGCTCGGCGGTCTGCGGCGAGATGGTGGCCCGCAGCGCAGCCGCATCGAGCGAGCGCCAGCGGGCTGGTGAGCGGCCCGCCGCGGCGGCGCCGGCGACGGGCAGCAGCCTCGCCTACGTCGTGCGCGGCTCGCGGCGCTGGAGCCTCGCCCCGCCCTGTTTCGGCAACCCGTTCGCAGTGAGCCCATGCTGCTCCCGCGAGGACGCGGTGGCGCTGTTTGCTGGATGGCTGCGCGGCCAGCCCGAGCTGCTTCGCCACCTGGGGGACTTGCGCGGGGCCAAGCTGGTTGGCCACTGCAGTCAGTCCGAGGCATGTCATGCAGATGTGCTGCTTACAGAGCTGGCCAGACGGGATGCTACGTCCTGGCGTGATTCGGATGTCTCGCGTAGGCTGGTGACTAGTCTTGTGATGGCGTGCTACATTAATGGTGCGGACCTTCGTTGTGACGGAAGCTCTGCGGAGCTCAGCAAAGTTTTCCCTCGGCAGAAAATTGATGCAGGTCTTTGGCAGTGGCGTAAGGCACGAGAGCTGGTGTGGGATCTCCCTGAACATATCCATGTGCTGGAGTGCCAGGGAGCGCTGATGATGATTCGATGGCGTGCTCAAGCTTTGTGCCGACGGCAGCGAGTCTTCTTGCACCTCCTCGACAGCATGGTCAACATCGGTGCGCTCTCGAAGCGCCGCTCCAGCAGGAGTCAGCTCATCAAGGTTGTGCGCAGCTTCTCGGCCTGGGAGCTAGCGATGGGCGCGCAGGCGGTGTTCGGCTTCACCTCATCAGCTCGGACCCCCGCGGACGTGCCGTCGCGCCTGAAGCATGGGGAAGCAATCTAGCCCCGCCGACATGCTCACAACCAGAGCTGGCCTGGGGAAGCTGCGGGATGCCCGGATCGGCGCTGCCACTCTCGCCAGATATCGTCGTGCAGCCCAGCAGTTTGTTGACTATCTTAACGCCATGAATCTGCCGTTGCCGTTCAGTTGGGAAGACATGGATGTCACATTACAAGACTACCTTGAATACTTGTGGGCCGAAGGTGCCACTAACGGTCAAGCTAACGATACACTGAGTGGAGTACAGCACCTGTTGAGGACGCGCCGGCAGTACCCAGGCGCGTGGAGATTGCTGTCAGTCTGGGGGCGCCTAGAGGTGCCGCAGCGTGCGCCACCGATGCCGCCGCTGGTGTGCAGCGCGCTCGCGGGCTGGGCGCTGGGCCGCGGAGAGATCGCCTTCGCCGCGACGATCCTCGCCGGCTTCCACCTCTGCCTTCGGACAGGCGAGGCTCTCGGCCTCTCCAGCGGCGTCATTCAGCTCAAGCCTTGCGGCAGGGGCGTGGTGTCGTTGCCCTGGACCAAGACAGCCTGTCAGAAGGGAGCGCGAGAGACGGTGACGCTGGATGACCCGCTCGTAGGAGCAGTCGTCCATATGCAGCTGCAGCGCGACGGCCGTCTGTGGCCCTCGCCTCCTCGTGCCTTTCATTTGCTTTTTCGCACTGGCCTGCGAGAGATCGGTTGCGCGCATCTCGCCGTCCCATAACGTTTGCGTAGAGGCGGAGCTACGCACGAATATTCGTTCTCAGGCGACTTGCCTAAAGTGATGCTTCGAGGTCGTTGGAGCTCAATGCGGACAGCAAAGATTTATATTCAAGATGGGGCCGCAATTTTGGCCGAGATGCGATTTCAGCCTACCACCCGTTCCTCGCTCCAGACCTTCTCAGATACCTTGATTGCCCGTGTTCGGGCGTATTGTAGCAAATAACCTCGACTCTAGGCCAGATGCGACTCTCCAGGGAGCTTGTGGGCGGCTTTCAGCCATATTTCGGAACACATTGGAGGGAGAGCTTTTCGGGTGTTCTTGGAGTGGAGAGCTTCTCTCGGGCTTCTGGGCACAGCGTGGTGCGAGTCTGCTCCCTCTCGAGGCCCACTTGGGACGGCGTTCTGACCCCGGTCGTTGGACGACGGTGGTACACTTGAGGTGTGATTCCTGCCGTGGCCTCGGGGTGAGTCTTGGGGCTCGCACATGCTGGTGCCGTTGTCTCGAGGCATTCGAAGCTCTGTCAACAGCTTTGGCCAACGAGTAGAGGGAGTAAGAAGGGGCGAAGCCCAGAGTTAGTGTTCAACGTGAGTTGTGGCTCCCCTTTATTCCCGATGAGCTACCGCTCTAACCCCCGCCTGCACACACATGAACACGTTTACGGTCAATGTATGGGCGAAGGGGTAATGAGCGAACGTTGGCCGCATCAGAATGCATGGCAGCCTTTGTGGCCCGCCCGCATCCGCCCTGTGCCATGCCGTCCAGGCATCTTCTCTGCCTGGCCGTTCTGCTTCGTTCAGCGTCTCGCGAGAGCTTTTCTCGGGCTTCTGGGCACAGCGTGGTGCGAGTCTGTTCCCTCTCGAGGCCCACTTGGGACGGCGTTCTGACCCCGGACGTTGGACGACGGTGGTACACTTGAGGTGTGATTCCTGCCGTGGCCTCGGGGTGAGTCTTGGGGCTCGCACGTGCTGGTGCCGTTGTCTCGAGGCATTCGAAGCTCTGTCAACAGCTTTGGCCAACGAGTAGAGGGAGTAAGAAGGGGCGAAGCCCAGAGTTAGTGTTCAACGTGAGTTGTGGCTCCCCTTTATTCCCGATGAGCTACCGCTCTAACCCCCGCCTGCACACACATTCCTGTGGATTCTGGGAACCACAGGCTGCCCCGCTGAATTCCCCCCTGAAGCGGGCATCCGCTTGTTACCCGAGCTTCGCTTCATGTCCCCGCATTTCGTGAAGCGAGCGCGTGCCTTTTTCAGGCGGTGAGAGTCTGGAGCCCGCTTGTCACCCGAGTTTCGGGGAGCCCAGGCTGCCTCCCAGAGTTTCCCAGAATTCCTTGGGAGCCCAGGTCACCCGAGTTTCGGGGAGCCCAGGCTGCCTCCCAGAGTTTTCCCGAATTCCTTGGGAGCCCAGGTCACCCGAGTTTCGGGGAGCCCAGGCTGCCTCCCAGAGTTTCCCAGAATTCCTTGGGAGCCCAGGTCACCCGAGTTTCGGGGAGCCCAGGCTGCCTCCCAGAGTTTTCCCGAATTCCTTGGGAGCCCAGGTCGCCCGAGTTTCGGGGAGCCCAGGCTGCCTCCCAGAGTTTTTTTCCCGAATTCCTTGGGAGCCCAGGTCACCCGAGTTTCGGGGGGCCCAGGCTGCCTCCCAGAGTTTCCCCGAATTCCTTGGGAGCCCAGGTCACCCGAGTTTCGGGGAGCCCAGGCTGCCTCCCAGAGTTTTTTTTGTCGCGAATTCCTTGGGAGCCCAGGTCACCCGAGTTTCGGGGAGCCCAGGCTGCCTCCCAGAGTTTTCCCGAATTCCTTGGGGGCCCAGGTCACCCGAGTTTCGGGGAGCCCAGGCTGCCTCCCAGAGTTTCCCCGAAGTCCTTAGGAGCCCAGGATGCCCGAGTTTCGGGGAGCCCAGGCTGCTTCCAAGAGTCTCCCCGAATTCCTTGGGAGCCCAGGGTGCCCCCCCGCATGTTCCCGAACTTCGAACTTCGGGGTGGCAGTCGGGTGCCCGTCGCACCGCCGCCCGCTTGCTGCCCGCATTCCCGGGAGTTTCGGGGGGCCCAGGCTGCCCCCCCCCCGAGCTCCGAGAACGCTCGCGGAGGCCCACACGCTGGCACCCCGAATTTCGAGAATGCTCGTGGAGCCCACAGGCTGCCCCCCCCCCCCCCCCCCCGAGTTTCCCCGAGCTTCGGGCCACAAGCGGGGGCCAATGTCAGGGTGAAATGGGAACCCGCTGATTACCCCAATTTCGGTGAGCCCAGGCCGCCTTCCCGAAATGTCGACAATTTCGGGCAAGAGATGGGTGCCGACTTCACACCCTGAAAATGGCATCCGCTCGTTACCCGAAATTCGGGGTGGGTCGGGTTGTCCCCCCGGATTGTTCCGCACTTCGGGAAACAAGTGGGTGCCCATTGCAGTTGGGGACATGGGGGCAACGGGGGGGGCTGGACAAGCAGCGGGGGGCCCCAAATGGGCGGGGGCACCAGCATGTCTCCAAATATCTTCCGCTGTAAAACTACGAGGAGACAAGCGGGTGCCCAACTCACACCTGAAATGGGCTCCCGCGTGTTACCCAATATTCGGGAAATGTGATACCAAGCGGGTGCCCATTTCAGGGGTGAAATGGCCACCCGCTTGTTTCCCAATGTTCCTACAGCGAAGCAACTTTCGGAGACAAACGAGTACCCACGTACCCGCTTGGATATCCTCTCGGAGTCCCGGAGCCCAGAACTTCGAGCATGTCTCAGGCGAAACGGGCCGAACCACCTCGCCCGCAGCATATATTACCAGGGCGTTTCATGCGAAACGGGCCAGGCAACGGTCGTCAGCGAGGAGGAGGAGGAGGAGCCAGGAGTCAGGAGTGCCAGGGTGAAGTCCATCCAGCCACCACTAAGGCCTCATGTGGGCCCCAGACGTCTTCTCGAGCTCGGCCCTACTGTAGGCCTTGGGAAATAATTCCCGCTCGATCCGACAAAGATACTCATCCCGGGCGTCGGACACCACATTGGGGCACAACTTGCTTAACCCGAGCAACTGCTTATCCCCGTGCACACCGCAAGACGCGCAGAACCAAACATCGAGGTCATGGTGCAAATGCAACTTGTGGGATGGGCCGGTCCACCCCCCAGCAATGTGTAGCCTCGCACCCTCGGGGAGTCCACGGAGAGAGCCGTCAATGGCGACAAGCCGAAAGCATTCAGTCTTTCTCCAAGCACGGGCCGAGGACACTGCAGCCGAGCCTCGGCAGGGCGTGGCTCGACTCAAAAAGGGAGACAACTTCGGCGGATGGCGGCGAGGGGGGTGGCCCTGGAACAGGAGCCACGGGCGCGGGCGGGAGGATGGTTGGTTCACCAGCATTCTCGCCACCCGCAGGGCCCACGAGGCCCGATCCCCCACGCCGCCGAAACCTACTCTGAGATCCAAGAGGAGCCTGCATACTCGAGATCTTATCCTCGGCGGCTAACGCGTCATGCGTGAATCTCAGAATACGCATGCGGATCCAAAACATCTGGTGCTTGAGCGGTAGGATGGGAGTTTTCGCGCTCGCTGGGGGCCTGTGCTGCTCGGCCCCCCAGTTCGCCAAGGCATCAGCAACAACATTGCCTCGTACAAGCCAGGACTCTCCTTTCCCAGCAACAACGTCCCTGGGCCCGAGGTGGCTGATCGTGAAAAGAGCAGTCGCATGTCCTCTTTCCCGAGAGGCTATCAACTTGCCAACTTCAGCCCACAGATCACCGTTCTCTCCGACTGGTCTGGAGTCCTGATGACTATGCCAACTGTCGAACACCGCCTTGTTATCCGTGACATAAATAAAGAAACCCGACGCCCACCGAAGAGCGCAAAGAAACACGGAAAGCCCACCTCTGGGCACAGACTGTTGGGGCCCAGGCAGCACGCCTGAGATGGTGCGCGCTGGGTCCATGGCCAGGTCATCGTCAAATTGAGCGAGGCCGACCCCGACGCGCCGAACAAGCTGCGACGACGAGTCGGCCCCCCCGCTGGCGTCTCCGAGCGCCAGGACAGGACGCTCGCGACTACCTGGCCCAAGGCAGCCTGTGAAAACCCCTTCCGGGAAGCCAGCGCCCCACCAGCCCTCGTCCTGCATCGGGCGGGGGAACCTGAACGCGGTCAGCAGGCAAGAGGCCGCGCAGCCAAATCGCGCGCGAGCTTGCCCGATGAGGAAGTCCGGCTGTTCGTAGGCCACCTCTCCGCGGTTCGCCTCCCAGCCCCAGATGCGGTGGCAAGCCGTCGCAGGACAGCTCCTGCACCGAGGGCACGCGGGGTCTACCGCCATTTGGGTGGCGGCCTCGGCTCGCCTCTGCCGAGCCCAGCCCCCGCCCGTGGCGACCGTCTCCGGCAGCTCGGCGAGACGCTTCCCGTGCATGGGGAGCTCCAGGTGCTTGATCTGCAGGCGCAGCGACGACATGTCTGCGCCCGAACCCAGGCCTCCTCCGCAGAAGCGTCGTTCGGCATGCTGCCGCTGGAGCCGCGCTGAGGCCTGGTCGAAATCCTCGAAGAAGAACTTGAAACCATTGAGCGCCATCACGTCCGAGTACCTCAGGAAACCGCCGCTCAGCACCGTCTGGCATGACCCAGAGCGCGGGGGATTGCGGGTCCCAGCCGCGCTCCAGGAGGCACGCGATGACTGCCCTGATGGGCGCGCGGACATGCCGAGACCGACGCCCTGGAGGCGCGCCGCGGAGCCCTGACACCATTGAGTTCCGCACTCGATGATCGCTTCCACGGGAAGGCGGGGTGCTGAACCAGGTGCGAAGCCGAAATTTGGCACGTTCACGAGGATGCTCGATGCCGGGGTCCTGCAGCGGCTCCCTGATGGCCACGAGCGTAGTTCTGCACGGCTCGCGGCCTCTGCTGCCCAGCGCGGCGGCCAGGCCGC